AAAAAAAAGAGGTCTAGTAATCGACAACCCGATTCTTCCATTATATCCCAATTTGAGAAAGGTACTATCTGGTATAAATGCAAGATAGGTTTGGATCACTTTGAAAGATGGAATGTTCTTGCCATTAATCTTGAAGGGTGCTTCCCATAAAATTGGAACGGCACAAGTAGCCCAACGTTTATTAACCAAGAGACAAGAATGCAAATCTTTATTAGTTTGAAGGAATCTAAAAATAGTATCAAAATATTCTGGTGCAAAAATTTGATCCATTATTGTTAAGATGTTAAGAAATTATTCAAAATGTTTAGAAATATTTGTACGTAGTAATGATTTCTAAACTACAATTAAGCGTAAAATTATGTGCACTGATTTAGAAATTTTTTGATACCGAAATTTTAGTTTTGATTATAGATGGGTATGTGGTGTAACGATTGTGTGCACACATGAACAGGATTATACCACCTTTTTCTATATGTAAACTAGTACGTTACATGTGCCAGGCGACTTCGTCGCCCGGATTGATTAGTGGGTCCACCAAAATTCAGCAAATTACATAGTACATCCAATCAAATTTTGTTAAAACAGATTGTTTTGTGCAAGTACGATAAATTAGGGTTAAAGTTGGTATTAATGATGTTTCATAGTAAAATCTCATGAGAAACATTTTTAATTATTGCGCAGAAGACTGTTGTATAGTTAAAATTTGAGTTACAGGCGATTTTTTTTAATTTAATTGGTTATTCATATGACATTGCTAAATTTTGGTTGACCCACCAATCTATTCTCGTTGCCCGCTTGCAGTTTTAGATGTCACTTGAATTAACGTGACATGCTTAATACCAGAAACGTAGAGAAGCTCGATGCATGGTTTATAGTAGAGATTTACCTCACGCGAGATCACAAATTCTAACACCCGCAACTTCATGCACCTTGCACAAGATGATGTCAACCTTTCGTGAGATAAAATTATTCGATTGATAATATTAATAATCAATGAGCTATCAATTTAATAGTTTTTTTAATTAGTTAAATAATATTAAATAACTATTCTTGTTACGTCATATTATTAATAAATTATAATAAATAAAATTTTTTGCTTTGATTTTTGTTTTGATTTTATAAATTGTTACAATGTCACCTAAAAAAAGAATTTGGAATCATTTTTCTTAGTTGGGAATTATGAATGGCTTTGCTAAAAAAATGTGTTTAGTGTAATTACTGTGATTATAAATTGAGTGAAGCTGCAGGCCAATATAAAGCACATTTGCATAATGATTGCTTAAAGGTGCAGAATAACATTTTGAGACAGTATTTTGGAGATAATTTTCAGTGCAATAATTCTAAAAATGTATCTTTGGAACTATATAATGTTGAAAATCTTTTTGATCATTTTTCAACTATTCAAGAACCTCAACAAGATGAATTGGAACTATTGTTTGCTCAAGCTAATTTTATTGTGGCTTATTATTGACTTTTCCTGAATTAGAACTGATTAAAATTCTTTTTAATTATGCATATTTTACTTTTGAATTACCAACTCGAAGATGGTTAACAGGATTTTTGTTAGGTCAAATTTATATAGATACTAAAGTTGATCAACATATTAGTAAAGCAGAGTAATTAGTGATAGATGGTATTAATTTAAGTTATATAATTAATATTCTATAATAATTATCATTATTTGATTTTACTAAACTTAATTTATATAGGTCAAGTATTGCTAATGATTATTGGACAAATTTTATATTTGCAATACCCCAACCAGTTTTTATTTCTGCAAAACCTACAGGCAAAGTTCAACAAAATTTACAAAACATTGCATTGAATATAATGGATATAATAAAAACTATTGATGATAAAAAATATTAGCAGTAGTTATGAATAATACATCCATTATAAGAAGTGCTTAAAAAATAATAGAAAAAGAATATCTTTTTATAATTTTTATAGGTTGTCTTGCACATAGGTTAAATCTACTTGTAGGCAATATTTTTAAACTTATTTGGGCTAAAAATATTATGTTAAAAACAAAAAAAATTGATAAATTTTTTTATAAGTATAATATTTCTAATGTTATATTAAAATAGCACAATATAGAGAAAAAAAACTACTTTAAAAATACCAGTTAAAACACATTGGGGATTAGCTGCAATTTGTCTAAATTCAATATTATCAAATAAACTTGTTTTAATTTTGAGTTCAACAGAGCTTACACAGTACAAAACTAGTAAAATCAATCAAGATATTGCATTGATTATTTATTATAAAAATTATTTGAACAAAATTTTTTATTTGGCAGAAATATTAAAATATCTGGTTAATAGTCTTAGCTGAAATTTTAAAAAATTTAACAATATTATTTTGTAGAAAATTACTAAGAATGCATATAGTGTATAGTATACAGGTATTACTGTAATTTTAAAAATCTATGTAATATGCAAATCAAAACAACTTTTATAAAACAAAAAATTAAACCCTACTTCGGTTTAGGG